TTGTCCATTAGAGTAGTATCCTCTCCATGTTCTTCTACATGCAAGAAATCCAAGCAACTTATGTTCACCACCTTCTTCGACCTTATAGTGGTATCCTTACTGTTGGAAATGTGCCCTAAAACCAATCATATGATGATACTTTACGGACATTTCACATGTTAAACTAATCTAGTTTAATATCAAGGGCAAAGATTATTGTTTAAGCCGTCTCATATAAATGTTATATGCTTAAACAATAAGTCCAAGGAATATGTAATTAGGAGAATGTGATTTAAACAAGTTAGATTACTGAGACCATTCTCTTTCGTATACATATCCTAAACGTTCATGATCATAGGATTGCCAATTGGGCATTGACAGTCCGTTAAGATCAATACATGTTATGTCTTCTCTTAGTGAGAGTGACTAGTCTCGAGTCATTGGTGTGATTGACACCAAGACAAGCATGTAGGTGCTCAATAACGAATGAGTCCACTGAACACGATCAACGAGGAGTTCTCATACTCATGTCACATGAGAACTCATGGTTGGGATAATGCAAAGTAGTTCTTTGACCTGAGGCATCATAGTTGTCTTGTGGTTAAGTCCTTGATCTTTGATTATGTCAAAGTCACTCCATCAGGAGGGTGTCCACGGCATAGTTGGGGTTAAGCCACTTAGCCATGGAGGCAAGTGAATGCGCAACAATGGATCTCTAACCTTCAAACTATTTGAGGGAGAATGCTCTATGATATGATTAAGAATCTCTGGCCAGAGTATGAATGAGATTTAGGAAGTCATTCCAAATCACATTCAAGGTAATCATATAAGTAAATGAATCACATTGGATAGTAGACATGATTAAACTATCAAACCAAACAATGTGGTCAAGAGTATTGTATTAGAGAAAGACCGTATTGCATTGTAATCCTAAACTGAATAGGTTCTCCACTTCTTCTTATTAGCTTGGGTAACCATGACATACTGCTAGGTGTCACTCATGGTTTGTGGAAGCCCTAAACGTGTATAATCACTAAAGGGAGAATTGAAAGTAAGTTTCAATTCACAATCGATTTGAAAGTGTTCTAATCGCCCACTGCCTCGCTAAAAGGAACCTAATGGATCGTACACCATGTAAGGCAGAGATTGAAGAAACAATGGAGATGAGTAAGAATAATTAAATGGTTTAATTATTTATGGCAAGGATTAATTAATATGTTAATTAATCAAACAAATCAAGTTCATTAAAAGACCACGGGTTAGTTTTGGGCCTCAAGGCCCAATGGGCTTCGAACGTCAAGCCCATTGACTTAAGTTGTATGACAACTTAATGACAAATAATTCACAAAGGCCTTAAAAGCCCAATGAAACCCTATGGCCGGCCATTTAGTTAAAGGAGTGGGTTTTGGACTTAATTACAAGTTTGCCACTCAAATGAATGTAGGTATAAATATGACTTTATAGCCAAAATTCATTAAGGGTTTTTTTTTTAGAAAAGAGAGAACACAAAGCTCTCCTTTCTCTCTAAAGAGGCCGGCCACCCTTGGAGGGATTAGCTAGTAATCTTTCTCCTCCAAGGTCACTCATCTCTTCTTCACATCTTACCTTGGTGTAGAGACTTAGAGGTTCTCAATTTTGGGAACTTGGAGAAACCTATTCTTCCATCTAAATCCATGGATCTAAGAAGCAAGGAATGAAGGCCCTATCTCTTGGGTGATTATCCTTTGCTTTTGCAAAGACGAATCTACAAAGGTATAAATTTCTCAACTCACTTAATTTTGAGTTGAGTCTTGGTTCACCTAACTACTAGGCTTTGAATTTCATGGTTAATGTTTTGTTTTTAAGTGCATACAAGCATGATTCCGCCTTTAATTTGTTAATTGCATGTTATAGATGTTGCTTAAATGAACATGTTTTTCACAAAATTTCCTTCACTCACCATGTTCTTACACTTTACGGTTTGGGTAGTAGGTGCAGTGGGTCTTGAACCAAAGAAGAATGGGAGAAGGGAGAAAGACGAATAGGAAGGCACGGAGTAGAAAGAGGAAAATCAAGGTATAAAGGAGAAAAAGGAAGAGGAAGGCATAGACTTATAAATTGATGACTAAAGGTTTACTCGACGAACGCCTCTGTCTGACAATTCTTCACTAAACGTCGAGCAAATTTCATGGCAGTGGATGGTTATTACACATCACTAGTAGACTTTTGACCACCGATAGTAGACCTACCCGACGAACCTCTCTATCATGTAAACTTTACCTGACCGACGATCAGCTAATTTGTTGGTTAAATATTCCCCTCTTCGCGCCAAAAGTTGACTCGACAACGTTTTTCTTAACCTACGAACTATGTTCATCCAAAATAATTGTTACTCGGACATCTTTACCCTTTGGTTTTTTATTCACTCAATTCTTTATTTTTCCAACCCAAAGCAAGCAAGGTTCTAAAAAACGCTAGGCGCTAGTCAGGCGGCGGGCTGGCGTCTAGCACCTAGGCAGCAAGGTGGGGTTTAGGCAGGTGCCTAGGCAGCCTAGACGGATTTAGATAAATTTCTTGTATATCTTGTAAATAAGTGTATACTAACACTTACAAAAAATTATACTTGTATGAAATCCCTGAATAAGATAGTAAAAGAATTGTAAAATGCGTATCTAACAAGTCCAAAAAATCAATAGCACTTGATGCTATGAACTGATAGCTTGACAATCTATGTTTTTTAATGAGAAAAAAAATTAATAGCAATTGAATGGACTGATAGCCCTTTTACTTTAAGAAAATTCAAGATGCTAGCTGTCCAAACTTGAATGGACAAAAACAAAAAAAATAAAAAATAAATAAATAGTTTAAAAGTGATCACGTGGGTGTGGAAGGAAGAGAGAGAAACTAATTTTCTCTCATCTTCTTCCTCTTCGCAAGAACACGGGCCAAATGCATGAACTCCAGAAAAACTAGAACACAGACCAGAAGCATTCATCATTTCTCAAGTTCAAACACATAAAAAATTGAAATTCCCAGACCGCTAGGCCACCCAATCACCCGCCTAGGCCGCCCAAGGGCTGCTCAGGCCGCCTCGGCGCCCGCCTAATTTCTATCCCAATTTTGCATTAATCCCGATGGTTGGCCACTGCCCAGCGCCTAGGTGGCCGTTTAGGCCGATTTTTAGAACATTGGAAGCAAGGAGAAGAAAGGACACAAAAATAGAAGCAGGTAACTCGAAATCAAATTATGAAAGAAATATTTTGTTGCAATCAATATAGTAATAAATAATAAGTAATATAATGATTTCTAACTATATGTATAATTTTTAATTGCCGTACAATATTTCATTTTTAGTTAAGTATCTTGTATGATATTGTTGCCCCAACCACTACATTTCCATTCTATTATTAATTTAATTTGAGCATGAGCCCACGTAAACATATTCAATCAACCCAATATGTTGACCGACTTCGCCCTATCAGAGCAATTCCACCGGGACTTGCTTTGCCCAGCCCCCAGCACAAAAAACAGCCTGGCCCTCAGTGAAATTGCTCCAGCCCACAAAGTTGCCTGGCACCCAGCCCATGCCAGGCAACAGCCCAGCCCAATTTTGACAGACCAAGAAGCTGGCCTATTTGGCTGGCGCGTGCACGACAAGCGCGCCTGGGCGCGAGTAGCCGACAGGCTGCAGAGGGGCTGTCAGCCCACTTGTGTTCCGGATCCCATCAGTGACGTGGCATGCTCATAGCCGTTGGATTTCCAACGGCTAGTTTTTCTAGACCGTTGGATTTCCAACGGTAAAAGAAATTTAAATTTTACTTTTAAAATAGACCGTCCGATCACAGATCAACGGTCTACGTTAATTAACTAAATTAAAATTTATTAAAAAATACAGAAAAAATATTAAAAAATACAGAAAATTTTAAAAAATTTATTTATTTATTCTATAAATACCTAACTCTCATCTTCCACCTTATACCACATTTCAATATTTTCTACACTTTCTACCAAAGCTTTCATATACTTTTTGTGTGAAAAAAAAATACCAAAAAGCTTGTGGTTGAAGAATAAAGTGTATTTGATGAGTTTATGTAATTTCATTTTAGTGTGTTTTTTTTATAGTTTATTTGATGAGTATGTAATTTTATTTTAGTGTGTATTTTTTTTTAAAGTTTATTTGAAATTTTATCTTAAATTGGTTAAAAATCTTATCCAAAATAAACTTTAAAAAAAAAAAACACACCAAAAAAATGCGCTGGATGCCAGCGCATTTTTTTAGGGGTGGAGATGTCTTGGCCTATTACTGTTCACTCCAGTTTATTACTGTTCACTTGAGTGGATAAATGCGCTGGGTGCTGGCGCAAAGTCCTTAAGGGTGGAATTGCTCTCAACTGAATTACCTGTCGGATAAATACTTGTTAACTGACGAAATTCTTCCGTTGAGCATAATTTGGTAGGGCAACCCGTAATTTTTGCTAGTGATATTATATGTTTATTTATTTATTTCCTTGTGTATTTAATTATAAAAATTAAATTAATTCAATTATATATGCCTAGAAACACAACAAATATATAATCAAACATGAATGCACAGCAAAGACCTCGCGGTGCATTCACAAATTCTTTCTCTTCTTTGCTCTCCTTTTCGTGCAAATTCTATACAACCACCTAGAAAATCAAAAGAAATAAAATGATGGAACTCGATCGGTCAGACTCTTATCTCTCTCTCTCTGCCTTTCCACCGTTTGAACTTCAAGTTGGGTTCGAGTTGCAGCTTCAAGTACGTACGAAAGCAAGATAACTAGGTTCAAATTTAAATTGATGCGGAATCATCCCAATCCATTTGGTTTCCGTTTGATACGAACCAAAACTTGAAATTCCCCAAAATAACAGAGAATTAACAATGTAATAACGGGAGAGGCTTCTCGGGGGAGAAAGATCTTGAGATCAGTAGTCCTTCCACCGTCGTCAGATAGAACGAAGTGGATATGAACAGGGTGTTAACAGAGCAATAGTAGGGTACTAATGAATATCTCACGAAGTTAATACGGAACCAACATTGCTTCATATTTTATTAAAAGAATATCGTTGTCACACTCTTTTTAACTTTTACACGCTCCAGATCTAGTATATTCAGCTTGTTAACGTACAATAAAAATAAAAATAAACCAAAAACAAAAGAAAGCACGCACAGTACACAGTGTACACACACAGCGGAAATCAACCGATAAGTAAAAATGAATATTCAAAGTCTCAAAGATATATAAAAACTAGGAATAAATTATCAGCTAGCAAATCACCAAAGGCAGCAGTAGAGAAACCCTAACAACATGAAAACCCTAAATAGCATCCCGTGATTGTGCTTCACACAAAGTGATCCAGATGAATCTTTATCATGATCGCCAGTGGCAGTGTCATCCGCTTTGGGATGGTCGAAACTGGCAGGAACAAGTGTATCCGGGACAGAACCATCATCACTGCCGTCACCACCTGGAGATGGGGACCCGCCGGGACTGCTTGCTGTTGCTGGACCTGGGGACTGGTCCTGTGTGGGTGTGGTTGGGCTTTGTAAACTCTTTGGCAACCCTTGTCCGTGAGTGACGCTGATCTTAAAGTGCTGCCCGTTCTTGCATTGGCCGCCATCATAATCCCCTGAAAAGAAATAGTTCATCCCTTGTTTTACCAAAGGCACTGCCACTGACACCTCGCGTACTGCCGTGTTTGACGGGTCAGCTGCCGACCATTGCATTGTGTCGTTTTCTAGAGCATCGTCGTAATCGCACAGCTTGTATGTCGTCAAGTTATATGTTTGCACAACTGAGTGGTTGGTGTCCGTATTAAAAACTGCATAACAATCACATCTATAATCAACTCTTCAGTAAGTAAATATAAAGCTGAACGAAGCTAAGTTAACTAAAGAAGCATACGTCGCTTTTTCAAAACCAAGTTCAAACAACCTCTTCGTAAACTAGTTTAGACTGAAGTATAATTTATAATGTTACTCAAATAAAAGAAACTTCAACAAAATTAATACATATACATATTATTTCCCCAAGCGAAAGCAATCAAAGGTTTTTGGTTCTTGGTCTTCATATTTGCCAGAATATAATATTCTTCAGGTATTATACATCATATATAGCAGTTGCAGGGCACTGACTAATTAAATGTTTTAAATAAGTATACCTATGTACATGCGTCAGCTCTAGATTACCAATGGCAGTGGAGAAATAATAAGGCTGTCCAGTTGCACAACCTATAAAACGTCCTGTCTTTACTTGCCGACAAGCCGAATTATTAGCCTTAAAAATATATACACACACGAATATAATAATTTAGGTAATGTTAAGGAGATTAAATTTGTAGACAAAATTTACAAAATAAATAATATGTCATCATTAGAAATGAGCACAGTTATCAATAGTTAAGTAATAATTCAAATACCAATTTACATGTTATTTAATTTTTAAAATTTTATCTAAAAATTTAATCTTCTAACATTATCCTAATAATTTATGCAACTCCAATCCTTTATTGGAAATTGGAAACAGAATAAATTAATAGGTTTTGACCCGTTGGGGGATAATCAAAAGAATTGAAAAGAAACAGAAGAAAATGGTAGCTGTATTCTAATGCATGTTCCATGTGATGAGTTGGATAGTTAGTAGGGAAAGGGCCAAGCGTCGGCGGTGGTAGCTTTGGCTACACGTGAAGTACACATGGTTTGACAGAAAAGTCCGTGCACTTGATTGGAGTACACTAGACATTATGGGTTTGTTGTGGATATTATGCTCTTCTTTCTATCTTTCTTAATGTTTCTCTCTTTGAACTTTAGCTTTTCCACTAACGTCAATGCTGTTCTGGGAAAAAGCAACGTGATTACATACTTGATGAGGGAATTACACTACTGCTTAATTAAGTTATTATTATTAACACACAGATTAGCAGAATATTTAAAAAAATTAAAAAAGAAGGAATATTACTGTACAACACCTCAAATTCTTTAATTTCCAAACACGAAATTTGGACAAATTAAACCAGGAAGTAGCTCAAGGATACTCAAGAAATGATTAACGCATCCATGAATGTCTTTTTATTAATAATCGATTGTAGAGACATGCAGAATAAACATAATTTGGGAATGATGATATACTTTCGAAGCATTAATAACAATCATTCTATAATTATCAATGTGTGTTAGAAAAAGAGAAAAAAACAATTGTAAACAGTTTGGAAATTTGAAATTAGCTAACAATCGACATCCATGGAAACCAAAATAAAAAAATCTTTTTGATTAACTTCAAGTATTTTTCTTTTCTTTTTGGATATGAATTAATTGTAAATAATTACAATTCAAGGACTAATAATAGCAATTTTCTTTGCCAAAGGTTAACATTAATGGGTTAAGTAGTCCACTGCTAAGAAGAAGGGAAATCGATAGAGATCGAACTCGCAACATAGCGTTAAAACGTAATTTGCGACTGATCGCAATTGATATTAACATAATATTATCGATCGAAGGAGCAAAAAATGAAAGAAACTGATGGATAGTAATGAAAGGAAGCTTACTGAGAAAATCTCCCAAGCTGAATGTCTTGGCGGCAACCCATTTCTGATAGTTCACAGATTCATACCAACCGGAAGAGTCACCCACTGTATAATTCTTGTAAGCTTCAACACCCGATATTCCTGAAAACGAAGGAATAACAAGAGGAAGAAGAAGAAGAAGGAGGAGGAGAAAACACAAGCTAGTGTACTTGCTCCGTAGTAATGGTTCCATTGTTTTTTGGTTGGAGTTTGTGAAAACTGAAAACAGAGAGAGGGGATATTGAAGAATAAAGGGCATCAACTGTATATGTATATACATGTAATGTATGGATGCTGCCAGCTAGCTATAGCTAGCTACCCAGCAATTGGTGCGTATTATGTTTACGTTTACCCCTACTTTTTATTGGAATTACCAAAACGGTCTCTCTTTCCTTCCTGTCGGTTCCAGTATGAAGTCTCAGAGTAATGTATAGTGTGATCTCGTCTCGTTCACTCAACATCTCTTGTGATAAAATTATATATCAAAGTTTTTTTTTATAATGAAATTAGGTTTCACAACTGGTGTGCTGATTGTTGCATACAAGTTGAGAATATGACCCCTCTATTAAATGTTGACAAAACATAACTCATGTTTCCAATCAAATAAAATAGTCGTGTGTGATTGAATAATAAATGATAATGCAAGTTTTGTAGTTTGATTGCTTGCATTATTTATAAGAAAATATTATTCACACTTATTTTTATTTTTTATATACTTATTTTAATTGCGATCATTTGATTAAATTGATTAAAAAAAATTAATGGTAAAAAATTAATAAACGTGTGTGGAAGATCAAAATAAGTGTGTAAATAACACTATCTTATTATATAGCTCAAATTTGGTCTTGATCTGATTTATGTATTATTGTTGACTTTAAAAATTACAAAGTTTGTGTGGTCTGCAGGCTGAGTAATTAAGATCTAATTACATCTTCAGTTGCTTGAATGTTGATGTGGACGTGCCAATTAGATGCAGAGCTCGATTGGGCAAATACCTTTTTTTTATAATTATTTTATAAAATTTTACTTTTATTAACGGGAGAGAGTTCGATACTATTACATTAATTTAGAGGAAGGTAAGAGTTTCAAACCCGGGACGTAGATAGAAACCTAATATCTTATCTACTAGGATTTTTTTTTTTGGCTAAATTGGATTAATGGTCCCCGTAGTGAGAGGGTAATCGAAAGATAGCTCTCGTGGTGAAAAAAAATCGGATTTAAACCCTCGTGGTGAAGTCCGTTAGGATTTAAGCCCAAAACTAACATTTATGCGAACTCTCCGTTAACCCAAAATTAACAATCCCACCTTTCCCCCAAAGATTTCATTGGATTTTAAAACCACGAAGTCTGCTACGTTCAATCTCAATTTGTCCTGCATTTTTCTCCTTGCGTCGTATTTGAATAGCTGCAACCTCAATCTTTTGATTAGAAAAGCAGAAGAAGAAAGAAAAATTGTGTGAGCGTTTAGATAGATAGTGCAATCAAAGTAGCAACATTCTTACCATCAAATAAATGGCACCAAAAAAATCCAAATTCATCCTCCCATCCAAAAGAGAAACCCATTTTCATGTTTCTTCAATCTCCATAGACGCATGAAAGAAGAAACCCATTTCCCTGTAAATGAATACCACTACGTATTTTGGATTTTCATCGTCAATTTTCTCCTCCTATTGTTTATAATTGTAATATTCATTTTCTTTTTACTTTTTGCGAGCAAAAAATCATAATTCTTGTGTAATCTGACAACTGAAGGATCTTCTTTGGAATCATTTTTTCTCAAATGGGCATAGTTAGGGAATTCATTGATTAATGGACAAAAGATCTTTGAATGGAATCGAAGCATGTATCAACGAATTCATAGCCTTGGATGACTGAGGTTTTTTCTCTTTTGGTTATGAAGGTTGAATGGGTTAACAGATGAGGAAGATGTTAATTTTAGACTTAAATCCTAACAGAGTCCACCACGAGAGTTTAAATCAGAATTTTTTCACCACGACAACTATCTTCTGATTACCTTCCTAGCACAGGAACCATTAATCCAATTTAGCGTTTTTTTTTATTTATCAAATATCGATATTGCATCACAGGCGGTTGGGCAAATAACTTGAATGTGGTGATGTGATAAATATGCAGCTAACTTCTAAATCGATTCCAGTCTTCAAACAGATCGCAATCTTCGAAGGGATCCAAAATGCCCAGCATCTACAATCTCTCCTTGTTCTCTCTGATCCTTTGGTCCCTGAACTGCTTGTTGAAGCCCTGCGCTTTTATGAACAGAACGGTTTTCAAGCCCGAAAAAGAGGGAAGGGAGGGATGGGTGGAGAAAAAGAGGGAGGGAGAGGGAGAATTTTCGATCTGGGTTTCGAGAGGGAGAGGGGAGGGATGGGACGGAGAGAAAGAGGGAGGGAGAGAAAGAAGTTTCGATTGGGGTTTCAAGAAGAAAAGGGGAGGGATGAGACGGAGAACAGAGGGAGAGAGAGAAGTTTCGATCTGGGTTTCGAGCAGGAAATGGGAGAGATGGGACGAAGAACAGAGGGAGGGAAAGGGAGAAGCTTCGAGGGAGAGGAAGAGGTTTGTTGAAAAAGGAAAAAAAATTAGTAATATAATAATATTATCTTTTTATCAATTTTTAATACCAATTGCTCTAACAATTTATTTTAAGGAAAACTAATGAAAAAGGCTTGAAAACTTTGAATTTTAACCAAAAACCATGTTATAAGTTTATTTAATGGTTAGGACAAATCCAACATCAAACAAGCCCAATAAAACTAGCCCAAGTAATGAGTTTCCAGTTTTGCCCTTGACAGCAAACCTTTGCCGTTTAATCACTCTCCCCCTTTTTGGAAATCTTCGCCCAGTCTCTATTTCTCGATCTTTCTTTCTCTCTTTCTCGATCTCTCCATCTAATCTTGATCTCTTCTTTGCACAGAAACAATACCTCCATTTTTGCAATCGAATCGGATCGAATTTTTCTCTCTCCCTCTCGACCTAGTCACTTTTTCATTTTCAATTTAATTAGAATTCCACCATTTTTAAATCAATTGAATTGATCGAATCCAATAAGAACAAGCGAGCTTCAGCATCAGCAGGTATGCATACCGCATATGGACTGTTAAGATTTGATTTCATATGGACTGGCATGCATCAGCAGGCATGCATACACAAGCGAGGTTTCCAATGTTGAGATTTGCAGGTTGGTTAACATTTGATTTCATATGGATTTACTGTTGTAGCTATTAGCTAGAAAAACAATATGTGGAAAGTATAAACTAAAGGTTTTAGTTTTTGGTGAATTATTTTCTAAAATTTTTGTAGTAGTTGAAGTTTGGCAATCATTGTTTTATATTTGAACTTATTATACGAAGACAAATTCGTACTACTACTATTGAAGGCTTGGAGTTTATTCTATGTAGTTTTTTGGAGTTTGAATGTGCCCTTTCATTTGTTTTTGTGTGTATTTTGGATGAATGTGGACAAACTTGTCATATGCAGTTTTTGTATCTGCAGCACTAGAAGGACTCAAGGTTCATTTGTTTGAAAAAAATGTGTAAAATAGCAAATTTGGGGTTGGATAAGAGAACTAGGTTGTTAATTTGGCAAAGTATCAGATATAAAATCATTATATTTCTTCATTTTCTTACCATACAAATATTGTTTATGATTTGGACAATGTTGTTCAATTCTATATGCCTAGGTTTTTCTGAATATTATGGTGTGAACCAAAAGCCACACAAAGACAAGTTCATGGTTGTCTGAGAAAGTGAAGATAACGCTTTATGTTCATTCTTACAAGACAATGTTTCTGGTTAGCATATTGCAGCAAATCATGATGTCCGTTATTTACAAGACAATGGTTGTTTTCATTTGCAAAACCTCCTCTTTTCTTTCTTTTTTGTCAATTCAATGGAGGCATCAGAGAATTGTTGTGTGAAGGTGGCTCTGCAGTCTGCACATTAGATCGGTTATCGGCGATAAACTATTTATCAAATTGAACTATTTATCAAATTGAACTATTTATCAAAGTGAACTAGAAAACCACATTTTTTTACCAAAACAAACTAAATTATTTATCAAACTGAACTAGAAAATCATACATTTTTACCAAAGTAAACTGAACTATTTATCAAACTAAACCACACTTTTTTACCAAAGCAAATTGAACTATTTATAAAATTGAACTATTTATCAAAGTGAACCATTTATCAAACCAAACCACATTTTTTTACAAAAGAAAACTGAACTATTTATCTAACTAAACCACATTTTTTTACCGAGCAAACTGAACTATTTATCAAAGTGAACTATTTATCCAAGTAAACTAGAAAACCACATTTTTTTACCAAAGCAAACTGAACTATTTATCAAACAAAACCACATTTTTTTAACAAAGCAAACTGAACTATTTATCAAATTAAACTAGAAAACCACACATTTTTACCAAAACAAACTGAACTATTTATCAAACTGAACCATAAATTTTTACCAAAGTAAACTGAACTATTTATCAAAGTGAACTAGAAAACCACACGTTTTTACCAAAACAAACTGAACCATACTTTTTTACCAAACAAACTGAACTATTTATCAAAGTTAAGTAGAAAACCACACTTTTTTACCAAAACAAACTGAACTATTTATCAAACTAAACTATTTATCAAAGTTAAGTAGAAAACCACACTTTTTTACCAAAGCAAACTGAACTATTTATCAAACTGAACTATTTATCAAAGTGAACTAGAAAACCACACTTTTTTAACAAAGCAAACTGAACTATTTATCAAACTAAACTAGAAAACCACACTTTTTCACCAAAGCAAATTGAACTATTTATAAAATTGAACTATTTATCAAAGTGAACCATTTATCAAACCAAACCACATTTTTTACAAAAGCAAACTGAACTATTTATCAAACTGAACTAGAAAACCACACTTTTTTACTAAAACAAATTGAACTATTTATCTAACTAAACTACATTTTTTTTTTACCAAAACAAACTGAACTATTTATCAAAGTGAACTATTTATCAAAGTAAACTAGAAAACCACATCTTTTTACCAAAGAAAACTAGAAAACCACATCTTTTTACCAAAGCAAACTGAACTATTTATCAAACTAAACCACACTTTTTTACCAAAGCAAACTAAACTATTTATCAAAGTAAACTAAAAAACCACAACTTTTTACCAAAACAAACTGAACTATTTATCAAACCAAACCATATTTTTTTACAAAAGCAAACTGAACTATTTATCAAACTAAACTAGAAAACCACACTTTTTTACCAAAGTAAACTAAATTAT